CGACTGTCTCTTGGTCCACGTTGCATTCTGGAATTCTCATTCTTCACAATGTTATCAATAATTTGTTATGATCCACACAGTAGAATGCCTTTGCATAGTCAATAAAACACAGGTAAACATCTTTCTAGTATTCTCTGCTTTCAGCCAAGATCTGTCTCCCTCTCTTACCCTCTCTCTATCTCTCTCTCTATATATGAATATATATACATATGTATGCATAAATTTTTAAAATAAAAATTTTATCACACTCTCCCTACTTTTCTACATGTTTATTTTTTCCTAAATGTAATATACCTTAGAGCTCTTTTCCTATGAATATATAATGTTCTCATTCTTTTTACATCTGTGTAGAATTCTACATGGATCCTGTGTTTGGGTTCTATTGCTGTTCAACAATATATCACCAACTTGCTAGCTTAAAATAACCCTCATTTATTATCTCACAGTTTCTGTGGTTCAGGAGTCCCAACACAGCTAGACTGGATTCTCTGCAGGGCTCTGATGGGAGTGTGTCATTTGAGGTTCGACTGGGGAGGGATCCACTTTCATGCACATGTGGATGTTGGCAGGATTCAGTCCCTTACAGGTTGTTAAACTGAGGGCCTCAGTTCCTTGCTGACTGTTGACCAGAGGCTGCCCTCAGTTCCTTGCCATGTGGCCCCTCCATAGGAAGCTCACAACAAGGTGTTCAGAAGACAGGCATTATGATCTTACATAATGTAATCACATACACATAATAACATAGATCCCATCACCTTGGTTGTATTCTATTATGGATTCAATTGTGTCCCCCCAAAAAATGTGTGTCAACTTGGCTAGTCTGTGATTCCCAGTATTGTGTGATTATGCACCATTTTGTCATCTGAAGTGAATTTCTTATGTGTTGTAAATCCTACCTCTATGATGTTAGAGGCAGTTATGTTAATGAGGCAGGACTCAATTTACAAGACTACGTTGGGTCTTAAGTCTATCTCTTTCGAGATATAAAAGAGAGAAGCGAGCAGAGAGACAGGAGGACCTCATACCACCAAGAAACAAGAGCCAAGAGAATAGTGCATCCTTTAGACCTGGGGTCCCTGCGCTGAGAAGCTCCTTGACTGGAGAAGATTGATGACAAGGAACTTTCCCCAGAGTCAACAGAGAGAAAGCCTTCCCCTGGAGCTGGCATCCTGAATTCAGACTTCTAGCCTCCTAGATAGCAAGAGAAAAAAGTTTCTCTTTGTTAAAGCCATCCGCTTTTGGTATTTCTGTGATAGCAGCATTAGATAACAAAGACATATTCTATGTGGCCAGAAGCAAGTCACAAGAGCCCCCACACTCAGTGGAACTCCAGGAGATGGGGAGCACAGGGGTCACCCTAGAGTTTGTCTCCCACAGTCTGTGTCACAGTTCACTAACCAACCTCCTGTTGGTGGGCCTTCACTGCTGTGATAACTTTACACATACAGTCAGTTGTCATTATTCACTGGGTTAGAATTCCAGGTTTGCAGTTACTTTCTTCCAGCATCTTAAAAATGTCATTCTATAATCTTGCTTACATTTCATCTGTTGGAAAGTCTACTATTGCTATATCTTTGAACTTGATGTTTCTTTTTTACTCTAATTGCTTTCAGGAATTTGTCCTTGTATTTGATTTTCACCAGTTTCGTTACAATACGCCTAGGAATGGCTTTAGTAGTGTTTATTCCCTCCAAGTTTATAACATTTCTTGAATGCACAGCTCAGGTCTTTAATGTGTAGTTCAAGTGTTTAGTTTTGGATAATTCTTCGTCATTATCTTTTCAAACATCCTCCTGTCTGTCCTCCCATATGAGTCTTCAATTTCAAATTCTTCATTATGTTCTAATGTCTACCACATTAATTAATTAATTTTGCATCCTTTTTTTCTCTCCAGATTCATCCTGGCTGTTTCTTAGCTTTCAGTTTACTAATTCTCTCTCTCTGTTTCTCCAATCTACTGTTAAACCCATCTATATAGGGTCACTATGAGTTGGAATCAACTCGATTGCAACGGATATAAATTCATAAATACAATTATTACAGGTTTCAGTTCTAGAATTTCTATTTGTCTCTTTTTATATATATTTCAGTTTTCTGGTAAAATTCTCCACCTTTACATCTGAACATCTTAATTATAGTTATTTGAAATCTGTGTCTGATAATTCCAATAATTATGTCACCTTGGAGTCTATTTCTATTGTCTATTTTATCTCTTAGTCTCATTTCTTGGAATGAGTGTAATTTTTTGTTGAATGTCTGACATAGTGTATGAAAATTTTAGGGGATCTAGATGATTTTCTCTTCCTCCATATAGTTTCATCTTATCCTCTGGTAGACAGCCTAAGTGGGGGCAGAGGACCCTAACTCAGTGTGGTTTGAGACTGGGAGGCTGTTTTTGTACAGTTTAGTCTACCTATGGTTTCCCCTCTCCAGGATTTAGCTCTCCAGGGGTTCCAACTGATAGCTTTTCCTCCTTGGCTAGTCTTAACTCTGAATTTTATCTCCTCAGTAGTGAGACTTCAAAAACTGCTCAGCTCTTCAGTGGCAGTCAGCTTTCCTTCTCAGCATCTTCCCTGTGTAGCATGAGAATTTGGCAAATGCCTTAAGGGTTCAACTCCCAGTTACTAGACTCTTCTCTGTGTCTCCCCTCTGTCTGTGATCTTGGTCCCTTGAGTCCTGGTTGCCTTAGAAGTCACAAATCCAATTTAATTTTCTCTAACACCATGAGATTGCCAGAATCTACCAGCTTCTCTACATCCTAGTCATAGCCCTCTGCCCAGTTCCTCCACTTTTCACTCCACACCAAGATTCAGCAATCGTCCTAAAGGGAAAAGCCATCTGCAGAATGATGGCTCGCATCTCTAAAGTTCCCTTTTCACCAGAATTTTTACCCTTCAATTTTTATTTCAGTCAGCAGCTCTCAAAAGCCTTTAAACAGATGTTTTTGCATTTTATCCAGGTTTTCAAGTTATTCTCAGCAAGAGTATTTATCTGACAAAAGCAACTTTGTTATAAATTTTAATGTATCAACTTTGTCAATAATTTTAATGTACGTCCAACCTACTTGGCTGGTTCCTGTCCTACAGAGGGGCCAGGACCTGAGCACAAACCAGGCTCGAATCTATGATTCAAAATAAAAAGAAAGACAATCCACACCATAATTTAACTGAATTCCTAGAACCTCTGAAGCCTTTTATGCCTTTCATAAATTCTCTAGGAGTTGAGAGGCCTAGGCTGAGAACCAATGACAGAGACAAAGAATGCCACGAAAAGGTGAGAATTTTAACCTTTAAGACTTAGCCTGAGCCTCATATGCTCACTAGAAAGTCCTTTCCAACAAAGTCCTCCATCTAGATTAGATGCCACTCCTCTGAGCCCAGAGCATGCTGTGCTTGTCCCTGTTCATCACTAACATCATGGAATCACAACAGCCATTCTCCTACCCTGGCAAAGCTTCACACTCAGGGTTACATCACTTTCTCAGGATCCAGGACACTGTGTAGCATGTGGGGAAGACTTGTTATCTAGTGAAGAAATTAATACTTAAGAAGTAAAAGAACTAGATAGAATTTGAAAAATATTTAGCAGAGACCAAAAAGGACTTGGTGGCCAATTGGATATTGTCATGGATTGAAATATGCCCCCCCAAAATAACTGTCAACTCGGCTAGGTCATGATTCCCAGTATTGTATGATTGTCTACCATTTTATCATCCGATGTGATTTCCCTACGTGTTGTAAATGCTATCACTATGATGCAATAAGATTGATTTGCGGCAGTTATGTTGATGAGGTCTACAAGACTAGGTAGTGTCTTAAGCCAATCTCTTTTGAGATATAAAAGAGAGAAACAAGCAGAGCAACATGGAGACCTCATACCACCAAGAAAGCAGTGCCAGGAGCAGAGGGTGTCCTTTGGACCCTGGGTCTCTGCTTGGAGAAACTCCTCATCCAGGGGAAGATTGACGAGAAGGTCGACAGAGACAGAAAGTCTTCCCCTGGAGCTGACTCCCTGAATTTGGACTTTATCCTACTTTACTGTGAGGAAATAAATTTCTCTTTGTTAAACCATCCACTTGTGGTATTTCTGTCACAGCAGCACCAGATGGCTATGACAGATAATATTTGTGGAAAACTGGGAGAAATTTGGATAACTGTCAGGTTTCTAGCTTGGGTGACCAAGGAATTGTTTCATTAACAATCAAGAAAATAAAAAGTAAAAATGAAAGCAATAAATTACTGGTTTATGTCTTGGAGGTGCTGTTGTGGGTGGCTGTGTTTTTCTGAAGAGGAGATATTTCAGGCACGTGGATTGGAAGTGCTTGGAGTAACTGCAAGTGGAGAGGTAAAGACTGCGGCCAGACACAGAGATCTGGGGCCTTATTGAGTGTTGGGATGGAAGACAGGAGTGTGTATGCACACACTGGAACCTCTGCTCTCCCACCTGGGAAATGCTGCCACAGGACTGTCCCTCCCTTACGTGTTTGCTACCTGCACTAAAGCCCTCAGGGGAATTTTTGCACCAGAAAGAGTTCTGGTGAGTCACTTCTAGAAGCATGTTAGCTGTCATGCCCTCTTTGACCTGGGTTTCTCTACTTTGGTAGCTTAGACAAGCTCAGAGCCCCCAATAACTGCGTACACAGAGGCCATCCCAGGTGACCCACACAAGGATGGTTGGGATGAGGATGGATGTATTTCTTGTGCAGCCAACACAGCACCCATTCAGACACCAGGAGACCATTTTTGCAGACCTACAGCCTTTCTTCTCCAATTTTACATTCTGGAGCCAAACACAGGTTAGGATGTGTCAACAAAACCCCAAAATACACTCAGGTTTACAAGGTGAGCAACACGTCATAGAAACAAAACACTAGACTGACACTAATTAGAGCTCTCTAGACTCCAAACAACAACAAGGAAGGGAGACTTGTTGAGTCTCCTGCTGGGACAGCAAACAACCTAGACATATAAAAGCCCCAACAGCCCAGAGCTCCTCACACCCTCACACACTCACTCACACCCTTCTCGCAGCTCACCTCCTCCCACTCCCACCATGGCTGACACCTGCTGCTCCGGGACCTGTGTTCCAGCTGCGTCCACCGTGTCCATCTGCTCCAGCGACAGGAGCTATGGCAGCCGCGTCTGCCTGCCCAGCGCTTACACTGGCTCCTCCTGGGAGGTGGATGACTGCTCCAAGAGCCACTGTGAGCCCACCAGCTGTACCTCTACCTGTCATCAGCCCACCTGCTGTGCTCCCAACTGCTCCACCCCAGCCCACTGCCTGATCCTCGTCCGCACCCCCGTGAGCCCCTGCTGCCAGGCAGCCTGTGGGTCCAGCCCCAGCCAATCGGTCGGCACCAGCTCCTGTGAACCCTCCTGCTGCCAACAGTCTAGCTGCCAGCCTGCATGCTGCACACCCTCCCCCTGCCAGCAGGTCTGCTGCATACCCGTCTGCTGCAAGCCTGTCTGCTGCAAGCCAGTCAGTTGTGTGCCCGTGTGCTGTGGGGCCACCCCCTGCCCAGCTCCCTACTGTTGCCAGCAGTCTAGCTGCCAGTCTGCATGCTGCACTCCCTCCCCCTGCCAGCAGGCCTGCTGCAAGCCGGTCAGTTGTGTGCCTGTCTGCTGTGGGGCTGCCCCCTGCCCATCCCCCGCGTGCAGCCAGCCGCCTGCCTGCACCCCTTCCTCCTGCTGCAGACCCTCCTCCAGCATGTCCCTGCTCTGCCGCCCTGTGTGCAAGTCCACCTGCTGTGTGCCCACCTCCTCCTGCTGTGCCCCCACCTCCTCCTGCGTGCCCCTGCTCTGCCGCCCCGTGTGCCCCCGCCCAGCCTGCTGTGTCCCCTCATCTGGCCAGAAGTCCTGCTGCTGAATGGATTTCTTAAGGTCACCCCAAAGCTTGAGAGCTCACTGCTACCTGCCCCACCTGGAATCTTTGCTAATCCCCTAGACCGCTGACCGGTCCTGCCCTCTGCCCCTGCCATGGCATTTCTGCTGCCCACTGTTCACTCTCTTCTACTGCAACAGCACCCCTGTCCTTCTACCCCCCACCCCAATCAGCATGCCCTGCCTCCCCAGCCATGGGTTTGGCAGTGACCCCAGCTCAGCCACCTGGACCCTCCCAGGCCTTTGAAACTTGTGCAGAATGAGCCAGGGAAAAAAAGAATATTTGGAGTTGGATTCTCTTTGCTGCCACCTCTTTGGGCCTGAAAAGAAATTCTGCCCCCTGGGCCCTGGTGCGGCCCTGGCTCCTGTCCCTGTTCCTGAGCCTGCTTCCTTTGAGCTGTCATGCCCTTCCAATAAAGCCCTTTTCTGATGAAGTTAACCAGAACTCATTTCTGTTGTTCACAACCAAAGACCCGTGCCCACCATTCCCCTACAAGTGGGTGGTCCTGGGCCACTGCTAGGTATCCCGGTGTCCTTGTCCCCTATACAGGAAGCCCCACCCCACCCTGGCCGCATGTATGTCCAAGGAGTGCACCTGCTTTCAAGGATACAAAGATGAGTAATCCTATGGTCGTACCTGCCCTGGGAAGGTGCCACCCTTCAGGAGGTTACGTCTCCCAAGCCAGATACCAGACTAGCTCCAGTCTCCCCCTACAGAAGAGTGAACCCTACAGGCCCTGTGCGGGGAAGAGTTCACAAGTGTACCTGAGATCGCTGCTCTTGAAAAGAACTGCATGCAAGGCTGGCCCTCAGCCTTCTCTGGGAACTGGGATTTCAGTAGGGTTCCCACTACAAACTGACAAGACTGGCTCATTATATCAAATTGTACCAACAATGCCAACACTTGCTTTCCTTCTGGGAGTCTGGAATTTTGGTACGTACTAGGCAGCGGGTGCCTATGTGACCAGCTGCCAAAACCCTGGGTGTTGAGTCTCTAATGAGCTCCCCTGGTAGACAACACTTGACATGTGCTGTCACAACTCATTGATGGAGGATTAAATACATCCTATGTGAGGCCCATGGGTGACTCTAATGGTTTGTGATTGACTGCTAACCAAAAAGTTGGTGGTTTGAACCTTCCCAGTGATGCTGCAGAAGAAGACCCTGGTGATCTGCTTCTGTAAAGATTACAGCCAAGAAAACCCTATGGAGCAGTTCTACTCTATAATACATGGAGTTTCCATGAGTAGGAATTGACTCGATGGCAATGGGTTTGTTTCGTGTGTGTGTGTGTGTATTTGTGTGTGTGTGTGTGTGTGTGTGTGTGTGTGTGTGTGAGACTCCACTGGGACAGGACTCTGGAAGCTTGTGCCTGGTTTCCCCTGGACTTCGCCTCCTCTGCCTTTTCCCTGTGCCGATTTTGCTCTGTGTCCTTTCACTGTAGTACTTCATAGCTGTGTGTATGACTATATGCTGAGTCCTGTGAGTCCTCCTAGTGAATCATCAAACCTGAGGGGGGTCCTGGGGACCGCAACCGAGTCCCCATGCTGTTCTTCTCCAGTGCAGGACAGGATTCCCCTTGCCCAGATGCAGCACTGGGCCCCATGGCCTGGGGGGCTCCCTCTAACTCTCCCTTGGAGGAGATGGGGGCAGCAGAAGGAAGGTAGGCTGAGCATCCTGTTCTCAGCCAAGCACATCTCAATGAACAGGGAGGCTCCTGCCTTTGAGAAAAGCAGCCTGTTTCCCAGTGGTTTTAATAGAGACCATGGTTTCAAACCCTGGAGCTGGGATGACCACACAGTAGATAAAGAATATTGGTTCTTTCCCCAGCCCTGTACCTCATCCTCACCCTCTTTTACGGATCCAATAGTGTCCCTAAAAAAAGTATGGTGAAATCCTAACCTCTGTACCTGTGAACGTGACCCTGTTTGGAAATAGAGTTTTCTTTTGTTATGTTAACGAAGTCATATAGGAGTGGAGTGGGTCCTAAGGCTAATCACTTACAAGCAATGTCTTATAAAAAGGGAAAGCAGAAACAGAGAGAGACACAAACAGGTAGATGAGACCATGTGTGGAATCAGCTATAAGCCAAAGAATGCCAAGGAACACCTGGAGCTACTGACAACAAGGGACACTCCCCTAGAGCTCATACTCTGAATTTAGACTTTTAGCCTCCAAAACCATGAGACAATAAATGCCTTTTCTTTAAGGCTACCTCACTTGTGGTATTTTTTGTTATGGAAGTTCTAGTAAACAAAAACACCCTCTAAGCAAAGGAAGGTGGAAAAAGTGTCCTTCTGGGGACTAGAGATGCAGCCTTGAGTCATCCACCAGGATGTGTCTCTCTAGTTCCTCGCTGGATCTCTAAGGAGGAACTAGAGAAACTTACTCACGGGATGAGTTTCCAGGACACCCAGGAACCTGAGTCCTACAGAGATCAAGATGAAGGGGTCTCGCTCAGAGGGTTCTTAACTTCCCACTCTCTGTGAATTCTGGAATTAGTTCCTCCCCTAGTGCATGCCCCAACAAGCATCCTGGGACCTGGCCCTCCATGTGGACACCTCCTCCTTCTTAGGGATTCTGCAGTGTTCACGCTGGAGGTGGTATCAGGGAGGAAAGCCACAGGTAGGTGAAATATCAAGTTACTTTTCCAAGTACAACTGGTCAAGCATCAGAATCATGTATCGGTATCTCCAAAAGAGGGTGTGTGCATTGATATGACAGGCGCAGGGAGAATTGTCCCCACGTTGTTCTTGGTGTGAGAGCTGTTCTCTGTCACACTGCCGGCTGACCACGGTCTGAAATTGCCCCTTTTCACCTGTAACCTTCACTGTCCATGACCAGTGACAATAATGCCTGTTTCACCCCTCTCCTCTTCTTCCATCTCCACCTTCTTCTTTATGCCCTTGGCTAAAGGAAGGATTTCTTATACAAAATGCAAAAAAGTACAAATCACAAAAGAAAATACTGAAAATTTTGAGCGCAGTGAAGTGTAAAACTTGTGTACCAAAAAAAAAAAAGCACCATAAACAAACTTACAGTCAAGCCCCTCCTGGGAGAAGATACCTGTAAGCATCACGGTGGAGTGCTTGCCAACCTCCTGGGCTCACGGTGGCACCACTCTCAGCCTCCTGCAGCTAGCTAGAGTTACATGACAAGTCCTTGCCAATTAAATGTGCACGAGGTGACATTGGCTATCTCTGGACCACAGCATTTAAGAGGCAGTGTGCTGCCATCCTGCTCTCTCTTTCCCTACTGTGGCACCTTGTAGGCTATGTGTGCTGGATGGTGGGCCTACAGGGTGGAGGAGGGTTTCCCACCCTGCCCTGGGCTGTGATGTGAAGGAGAGATGAGGTTTTGTGGTCTTAAGATATTGAGATTTTGGGTTTTGTTAGTTTCTGTCTCTAGCAATTACCTTCACTAATATAGCATGCAAAATTTTTATTTGTACTGTGTAAAAGAAACGTAGAAATAAACGAATAAAAGAGATGGAAATAAGCAGTTTGCAGAAGATGATGTTCAATGGCCAAAAATCACATGACAAGATGATTCATCTCTCCCATGATCAAGAAAACACAACTTAAAATGAAAACGAGATATCATCTACACTCATCAGATTGGCAAAAATGCATCGGACTCGGGTATGGAAACAAGATCTGCGTAATAATGCAGATAAGAGTGAAAACTGGTGCAACCATTTCTCAGAGCCTGCTGATAACATCTGGAAAAGCTGAACGTGTGCATGTCCTGCAGCCCAGGGCGGCTCTCCTAGAGAAAACCTCGTGTGTGTGCACATAAAACATGCACACCATTATTTTGCAGCATTGTTTGAAACACTTAGATATTATAAATAATCAAAATGCTCTTCAATAGGAAAATGGATAATTAAATTATAGTACATATATATACAAAGGAAGATTAGATGGTAGCTAAAAAGACAGAACTAGAGACATATACAGCAATATGGATAAATCTCAAAAATATAATATAGCTATTTAAAAAGCATGCTGCAGATTAACACATACAGAATAATATGTATTTAAAGTTCAAAAATACACAAAGCAATACTTTGTCTTTTATGGTTAAACCGTCCTCTAGGAAACTATAAAATCATAAAAGGGAATGATAAACACCAACCTCAGAATAATGGTTATCTCTGGGGGGAGAGAGAGGAGAATGACTAGGAGGGGCACACAGTGGACTTCAGTGATAGCTGTAATATTGTGCGAATATGGAAAAATGTTAAGATTTATTAAAGTTGGATCATGGGTAAATGAGTGTATTATTCTCTATTTTTTCTGTGTCTATAATATTTTATAATAAAAATACCATCTAGAAAGGGGGAAAACATTGTATAGTCCACATTCTCTCAGTCAGATGCAATAAAATAAACATAACAATAAAAAGAAATTAACTTTGGAAAAGTTGAAGGTGCTCTCTCAAGTTGAAGAGAAAATGAAAACCCAATTACAAACCATATGGAAATAAATGAAGAGAGTACTACGCCTCAGGATGTGTGGGACTTGGGTAAAGCAGTACTCAGAGGAAAATTAAATCCTTAAAAATAGAAAATAAGCAAGATTGAAGATAAGTTACTAAGATATCAATTCAGGAAGTTATAAAATTTCCAAGAAAAAAGTAAAAGAAATAAATTAATAATCAGAAATTAATGAATTAGAAAGAAAGGAAGAAAGAAGATTGATAGATGTAATCAATAAAACTAAACTTTTGTTTTCATAAGACAATAAACAACAATAATAATAATAATAAATTTTTGAAAATCTAATAGAGAGATAATAAAGATTAAATTGAAACAATTTTAAAATATGAGGAAAAATATAAGAAAAAAGTAGAAGACTTGAATAGACCAATAACCATGGAGTACTTGAAAAGGTAGGGAAAGAAGACTGCCAGTTGCTAAAAGTACCAGAGTCAGATACTGGTGCAAGGATAAACAGACCAGTGGAGCCAAAAATAGTCCAGTAA